GCAGTCAGGCGCATGCGATAAGACTACACAGAGCCCGTGGTATGGACAGAATAAGCCCGTGGTGCAATTACGTGGTGCTTGACTTATAAGCAACGGTCGTGGGTTCAAACCTCAGTGGTTGCAAAAACTGGGGCTGGGTGTGGCTAGCTGATAACCGTTAATAAGCCAGAAATGGAGATTCCACTCTCCGTTTGACTCGGGAACGCCCTCCAAGGCACGAGACGAGTGACTTCCGTAACCGATCGGTGAGCACTTATCTACCATTGTTAAATAAGGTGGCGGGTTCGCGTCTCAGGGGTTGGATAACCTTTGGTCGGGTATGGCTGACTGATGACGGCTAATAAGACAGAAATGTTCATTCCAGGCTCCGTTGTCTTTGTCGGTAGTGTTATTGTGGGCAATGTCATACAGCTATATCTGCAAACGGACATACATGCAAGATAGGGCACAAAGTGTGCTAAGTACGCCCCGCCTAAAGTGCGACGTTCAGCTTCGGTAAATTTATGGTCAAATAAAATAGGGGCCTGAAAATGAGAAGAGTGTGGTCACCAACATACTGAGCCCTAGGCTGATTGCGCGTGTCACGCGGGGTCGGGGACATGCAAAAGTTAGTGAAATCGTGGTATACGAAAAGCCAGAAAACGACGAACAGTTAGTTGGCTCACCTTAAGCGTTGACTTGGAGCTTGTGTATCCTCGGTCATAAGCCGTATAAATTCAAGCCACTAAGGAGACAAAGGTGTTTTTAGCGATAGATATACGTAGGGTTGTGCGAGGAATAGATAAAAGGCTAAAATATGACTTTAGTGGCCTTTGTTTACCGTCTTACATTGGACCTACCGTGTGCAGGAAGACATAGACAGCTTCCACCCGCACTCCGTCTGGTTTGGCGGAAAGATGATTTCAAGACGCCTGTGTGTGAGGATGGAAGCAGTGGCTGATAAACTCAAGAACAGGTCTGCACGTGCCACACATGTACTAGGCTGCACTAAGAACGACTCGGACCTTGTACCAGCGAGAATGCCTCAGAGGCCACATTTAGGAAGCATAGAGCTTAACCCTCGGTCTCCGGTCATCCGTAGACCGAAATATCCTGTCACCTGGTAGCCTTCCAAGCCACGACTCTCAGTGCGTCCTGATAGGTTCAAGCGCATCCGATTTATTATGGTGAGAAATGAGTTGATTTGTGGCAGGGATAGAGTTCCCAATGTTAGTCTCATTCTCTGCTTCCTCCCATACGCCAGTGGACTGCCCGAATAGGGCGCAGCGGCTGACAAAGCTAAACAGCCCGTGTACATGTGACACACACCCCCTGAGTACCAGTGACAAGGCGGCTCGGCCCGCAAACTGGATTGGTCCGACTCGAGGAGAAGAATCCATCGCCCCGCACATTGGTGACCCGTGGCACCTCAGGAGGGGGAGATCTGTAGGGCGGAAGGTTTACCTCGGCCAGTTACAATCCGCACAACATGTCCGCCTCTCAATACAGTACGTCTAACTTACCTCCCTGTCCCTCAGCTTAACCACCTTGCAAGGGCCATTGTGCTCTTCAATGATACCGCAACTCTCTATAGTAGTTTAAGTTCCCCAAAACTCATAATTCCCGGCAGAAAACCACGACATCATGCTGATGAGATACAGAACTCTCATGCTGAAAACGTGCCACATGGCAAAATAATGTAGATCAGGTGATAGCACAAAGTTCAGCTATCTCCAAGCCAGTCGAGTTATTTGGATGCTGAGGATAAAATAAGAAGACTGAATGAGGGCTAAACAGGTTCTGTGATCGGCTGACATTCGGAGCGTCGATTTATTGTTAAATCCGATCCGAATTTGGCGACAGGGCCACCTTGCCGGTAAAAGAGGCCAGAGGCTGCCAATAGAACTATTCAACGGCGATGTAGGAGTTCACCAA